CCCTTATAATTCGATGCCATATTGTGTTGCTTGTGTGGTTCATAGAGAGAGCTTGGGCTGCCTGTGGTTTCAGCGAGCTACACGGAAAGTGGAGGAAATCAAAAAAGAAATTCAAGATGCCTTTCAAGCCAGGCCAAGGGCTAAACGCTTGCTTCGTCCTTCAGATGGGAATGACGATGAAATAAGCGACGTGCAGTGATCGCTATCAACAAATCGAGCGAAGGCATCGAGAACACTTCCATTTAGCAACATATGTACCACTTGTGCTTCTTCTTTTGGCAGTCAGCCACCACTTGCTGGAGTAAATCCACTTAGTCAAGTCCTTTCACCGATACAGAAAGCTGGTTCAAGTTATCGAGTATTTCCGCACGTTCAAACAACACAGGATTTTCTGCCTCCTTTGACATCAACCCCATCGCGCTTGTCGGTAAACCTCAAGGAAGGTGAGCAAGTAAGGCTAATTCCGTGCAGTATCCCAGCAAAAACTTGAACAAAACGCTTCACGGAACTTAGCAGATCGTTGGTAAAGCACTGGCTCATGGAGTTCCATCAAGAATTGCGACAGCAGTAATGGACTGCCCGCCAGTAAGAAATCATATTGTCGAGAAGGTGATGAAAGTGGTCTCGAAGGAGGTAACTGGCCTATGTTCCAAAACAAACCCTTCGCTTCTTAGAAAAACGGGAAAAGAGGATCTGGAGAAGTTTGATATGGAGCATGTTTACAAAGAGTGGCGAGAGAGAGCTCCAGTTTTTTACTCGTTCCTTCTCACTTCTGCTGCAAACAAGAGCACTAAAAGTTCCACGTGGTTAGGAAGCCTTGCTCTTGCAGGATCTGTTTTGTTAAAACAGAGAAATCGTGAAATGAGCGCCACTGCTGCAGTTATGGGTGTACTTCTCAAGAGTAAGGCAGTGGAGGTATGATTTTACATGTTTTAGTTATTCTATTTGCGACGTTAAACGGAATTGTTGGGCTGGATCGATTTGGTACTTTTAGTGCTACATGTAAGTTTACATGCAATTTTCCTTTTCTTCTCAACTAATTATTGGTATGAACATTAAAAATCTACACTTTACGTTAATCATATATGAGCTGATTACCCGACTCTGTGAAATTAGTTGATCCCTGATCATGAAAAAGGATGTTTATAAATTTCAATTGACCAAATTGAAAGTTCATGGTGTTTTCTTTTTTTCCAAAAAGCTTACAAGAAATAATGCTTTGCATGTTTTCATAGATGTAACACAATTTTTTTAATGCAGAGGGAAATGCGTTATGACATTCCTAAATCTCTGCTTTACAAATAAAAGTTATTGTTTTGTAAAATTTCTTTCACATGACAGGCTAGCCTGAGCAGATTCAACAAGCTGAAACTTACTAACTCTAACCAGCAAACTTTGAGATCTCTGGACACACTGGGTGAAAACCATGACAACTACCAGTTAAACACAAGGGAGAGGATCACGATGGAAAACACAGAACTGCACCTACTTAATGAGGAGATAAAGAGCCTAAATAGTCTACATGCTACTCATCTGTCCTCTAATTCTGGTTTAGCATGCAACTGCAGCCAACAAATTTCTGCACTCAGAAAACAAGCCTTCAAATTGGAGAAGTCCTCTCATCCTGGTTTTGTTGTTTCATTTGACAATTTGGATCTGCAGTTGCAAAGGAAAAATATGTCAGTGCAGTCCCAAAACCGTGATTACCACTGGGTCAATCATCAAATGATCGAGAATCGTGTTTCTGGTGCCCATCTCAACTCAAAAGGACCAAAGGCAGACCTCCAGGAAGTTTCCAACCTTAAATTCCTACCAACACTTGGAGATCAACAGCGGCAAAGAACAAACTATATCATACTTACAGGAAGAATCCTGGTTGACTACTTTGATGCCTTGGCTCCTCTGAAGGATGCAATCATCCTTCATATCCCCCACAAGTATACCAATGAAATGACGCAGAAGTCAAAGAAGGTTATTGTTTTTGAAATGTTAATAACTATTATATTAAGCACATCTTAACAATATAGATGTTGTAGGTCAAAATGAAATTCAGGTTAAAATGAAACTCCTTTGTCTCTTAACGTGAATAATTATTTTCTTAGGGTTAGACAATGAAGGAAATTGAGAATCGAACTAGGTTAAACTCATTTTAACCTGAGTTTCATTTTGAGCTACAACATAAACACTAACTTAGGCTGTAACTGGTATCATGTACAGTGTAGATGTTTACCAGAGACCAACATTTTATAATTGTGTCAACAGAATGAATATTACACAATACATTAATAATTTGAGTAAAAACATAGTGAGTCACTAAGTCTTGCTGAAATCGACTTTATTATCTTTTCACTGAAGTTGTCAGATGAATATGAATTTAAAAGAAAAATAAAATGTATGAATAAATAAATTGATTAATAGCAGGTTTGGGATATTTCTTACATAAGGATTTCATTCCTGTCTTGTGTGAAACTTTCACTTAGGTGTGCCTCCTCAAAATAAAAATCCTATTGGGTTTGTAACCTTGTCAATTTCCTGCCATCCAGGAGATAAAGTGGTTTGCATATGGCTTTGTTAAGGTTTTCGGGGCCTTCGTTTCACTACATGAGATTTTCACTGACCTTGAAATTTCATATAATTATTTTCCCGGTAGATTCCACTTGGTATCATGTTCAAGAATGAGAACATCAATGAAGACATGATGTCAATCCTTCAACAGTTCTTTTCATACCTGCCTAAAACTGGTGATGGAGGTGTTGATGGCCAGCTTTTCTCAGGTGATCAGTTAACTGTTGAAAGGGCAGTTAATGTCATTTCCTCGGTAGCAAATGGTTTTACCCCAGAAGATCGTTTGGAGGGTATTAACCTTCAGCTGGGTGATTGGCATGCTGCTGTAAAAGTACTCAGTGTAAGTACCAGTGCAATGTTTACTTTAGTCTCCTTCTGAGAGTGGTTGTCTTGATGTCACACGGTGCTCCCCCCTAAACATTGGCATTGAGGCACTGTGTGACACTCCCATAAACAGTTCCTAGGACTAATCAATATTAATTATTTACTGTTCTTTTACAGTTAATATTCTCCAGATTCTTCAGTGGAAAGTCCGACTCAGACATATGCACCCTGTTTTCAGACCATACACTCATCAACAGAAGAAATGTAACTGGTGATCCACATTCTTCATACAGAGCCAACAGGGACTTTCTCTCTATCATCTTCCAGTCAAGGGTGATTGCAGCTGCAATGACAGTGTTGGGATTTGCTGGTAAAACAAGTGCCCCAGCAAACTACCCTCTACCAACAGGCATGGAGAAAATGAGGAAGACTGAGAGACTTGACTACCTCAGTGAAATCTCTTCAAAGATAGTCGATGCATTTGTTTTCCAGTCAAGTGCAGAGGTGAATGATCTTGTTGATGGTGTTTTGTCCGAAGAAGAGAGGGATGTTCTGCAGCGACAGGAACTGACTGCTGAAGGGAGATTTCCCTGCAGATTCCCAGGATGTAGCAAGTCGTTTAAGTATAATGGCAAAACAAGAAGGAATCATGAACTGTCACATGACCCACCTGTTCAGGTTGACAATGACACCCTAGTGACCACATCATCAGCATGTACCACCCCTCCCAAAGAGAGCAAACCAGGCGATGATGTTTACAACTACAACTGTGCTCTTATAACAGATTGTTTTCTTTTCTTCAACTTTCTTGATGCCATTAAAGAAGGGGATGGGGCACGGATCATGAGACAGTACAAGTACATTATGCTGTATTGCAAGGCAGATGGATCCCATAGCACAAAGTATGCCCTAGAATGCTTATATCAGTTTTTCCTTGTGCATGCACTTTTGTCTCAAAGAGACAGTGAGCGATTTGTCTGGAACAGATCTGTAAACAACAGTGGTAAAAAAGGCACCAACATCCCATTAGATGAAGACACAGAACACAGCAACAACTTTATAAAACAAGGCATTAGAAATCTAGGTCCTAATGTCACTGAGAATGCTGTTCAGAGATTATCCCATGCAGAACGTCCAACAGCATCAATACTGGCAAATCTTGATGATAGCATCAAACGACTGTTACGATCAGGCAAACATTCCACTGCAAATCTGGAAAGGGATCTGAATGAGCTAGTCAAAAGAGCAGTTGAATTTAACATCTTCACAGAGCTTGAGGGACGCAGCTACAAACAATTCTGCAGCTTCAAGAGGGACAGGCTTGCCAATTTGGATGCCTCTAGCTTGCACCACTGGATAAACAAGCACAAAAAAAACATTACATGGGGAATTAGGGCTAGATGAGAGTAGCACTTAATTTCAAATTTGTAATACCAATAGAGGAAAGGGAGGTAAATTCAAGGTAAAATGACAGGCCGGGGTGATTAAGATTAGTCTCTCCACAGACCCTCTATTTTGTCCAGTTCGTCGAAACTGCAAGCTTAGCAAAGTATTAACCTGACATGTGGGATACTTGTGCTAAAACACAAAGGGGTGGGGCTGGGAAAGATCAATTAAATCAAATTTAATTTGAGTTTAATGTATTTAAGCCTATATCTCGTCCGTTCTTGCGCTCGCACCGCCTGCATACTTGAAGAAAGATAACTCACAGCAAAAAAAAAATATAAATGTCTGCGGACAGGCTAATTTAAGATACCTTGAAGATTCAAAAAATGTTTTATAGAGTTTGAAATTTGGAATGCTCGCCCCATCAGATAAGTAAGTAAGTCCCTCTTATCCTAGTATCCCCCACAGCTTTTCTTTTGGGATTATCCTTTATGATGATATGTTAATAAGTAGGTCACATTTTATTGTCAACACATTTTATTATTTATCATTATCATTATCATCATCATTATTAGAGATTGCTGTAAATATGCCAAAATCCTCAACATTATTTAGAAATGGTTCTTGGAGGATCATTCCTCCACAAATCAACAAACAGCTAAACAACAGACCATTAAGGTGTAAATAATGTTATCCCATTATTTTTTCTTTTGTACCTCTCTACATAAAGGCAGTACAAAATATTAGTAAGGTCTGTTTTGAATCAATTGCTTTACACAATTGGCTTACAAAGTGTGCGCAACTTCCTCAGTTAATCTTAAGTAAGACCAAAACCAATTGTGACTCACTCGTACTCATCTACCGGACTTTGGATGAGTTACATGTAATTACCATAATGATTCAATTTAGTGCCTGGGGTGCTTATTTATTTTTTGTACATCCAGGGGGGGTGCCTATTCAAGACAGGGTGCACATTCAGGAGAGGGCGCTTATTTCTTCTCCATCTCTGTCCTTTTTGATTAGCAAGAGTGATTAATTAGATTTTGGTTTAAAAACACTCAATTACAAACCAATCTCGTTGATTACCAGAATTCAAATGTAATCCCCTATTTTTGGCATTTTTAAGATAAATTTGTATACAATACTTGCCACTTCTGAAAGTAAAATAAAAGAATAATTTCTAGTCTTACCATATGCATTTGACACACATTTTCTTAATACATGTACCAAGGTCAGTCTATAGATCATCCATATTCATGGCCTCGACAGTTGCTAAAACAGCTGAAGGTACTTCAGTTTCTTCAAAATTATTGCAATCAGGTTCGATTTCTAGTAAAGAGTTTTCTAGTTGGGAAATAGACGAATTGTCAACAATCATGTCAATTAAGTCACTGTCTTGGAGGATTTCGTTCCATTCATCAAGAAGCTCCTCATCAAAATCATATTCATTGTCCTCTAATCGAGTAAGATCAAATGACTGAATATCAGTACTCACATCATTACAAACATCACTGATAACTGAAAGTATCTCCAGCGCATGCCTCATGTCCCATATTTCCACAAATTTGTAAACATCAGACAAACTGAAAATTATGTCTAAGTTATCCAACACTTGTGTGATTTGATGTTTAGAAAATCCTAGCATAAAATGCAAATTTGTGAGTGTCTTCACATCACCATGAGCTGTCGTGTTTAACAGTTTGATTACAATGGACTTGTAATATTGAATTAGGCGACCTTCCACAGCTTTTCTTTGCTCTTCGCGCACTTTCCTTTTCTTCACTGAAGCAGGGTCTGCTTCTTCCCCTTGAGACACAGGAAATGATGAAAAACTGCCACAATCTGGCATACCACAATTGCATTCTGCCGTACAGTTATCACAGCAAAGATGTGGAACTTCATGCTGCCACGTTGTTGAATGAAAGTGCTTCAGCAACTCCTTTCTTCTGCAATGTGTAGTTTTCACAAATTGTTTCATATGGCCATCAACATGGGCAAGGAGGACTCCATGGTACAAAATGTACACAGCACTTTGAATACCATCCCTGCCTGCTCTACCTGTTTCCTGGATATATGCTTCCACATTTTTAGCAGGTCCATAATGAATTACTCTGTGCACTCCTTTACAGTCTACCCCCATTCCAAATGCAATTGTTGCGATCAACAATCTGATAGTTCCCGTCACTGACTGGAAGGAGAGAAGAATTTTTTCTTTGTTTGCAGAAGGTGTGCAAGAGTGAAGCATTTCAACTAGTACATTGGTTGAATCACTATCAATTCCATGATAAATATCCTTGCCAAGCATGCCTTTCACCATTCCATATATAACACTGCATTGCTTAATTGTCTGACAATAAATAATTGTCCTGTCACAAGATGCCCGTTTTAATTTGAGCTCTTTAACCAACCACTCAAAATACAACTCATGGTCAGCATCTTTTTGCATGCACTTTACAATGTAGGTAACATTTGGCTTATTCGGGCTTTCCTGAACCTCAAATGGTTTCTCCATGAGGAGAATGTTTAAAATGGTTTCTTTAGTCAGTTTTGTAGCTGTTGCAGTCAAAGCAATCATCTTAGCATTTGGAGCTAATGATCGTAGCTCGTGAAGGTGGCCATAGCACTCACCGAATGCTTTTGTTTTATTGTCTTCTGACATTCCCCTGAAAAATGCAATAAAACAAGACTAACCTTTCTGTTTTAAGATTTGGTTTGCCACACAATACATTTGTCACATAAATTAAATTGCTTTCTTTTAAGAATGTCTCAGGTAAGATATGATTACATGACTTGCATAAAGTACATTGCATGGTATAATTCCCTGAAAGAAAAAAATTCCCTGAAAGGATTCATCCTGTTTTGTTTTGCTTCACTAGCCATTATCAAATCACAGTTCACAATAACCTCAAATTCAATTGAACACTAAATAAGTTTGTTCAAGATTATGAAAGTAATATATCAGGCTAACTTATATGTGGTATTCCACAACACACCTTTTCAAAAAAATACACGCGTGAACTGTGAGTTAGTTATTCTGCCTTTTAGTAATAAATTGTTCACAACATGTGAAATATATATTCATATGTAAGCTTACATATATTTATCATTACTCCATTTCCTCCCCTGTATTAAGTTAAACGTGTTGTTAAAATGGAAAACATATTATAACTTGAACTTACCACTGCCGTATGACGTGTGCTTCATCGACAGCAACGGCACAAAGTTTACTCGAGTAGACATCATTGCTCAACATGCATCGCCAGCGTTCGTTCATGAGCCATGCTTCAGGGGAGCCATATACGATGGAATATTCGCCTTTCTCAATCTTTGAACGGTCAGCTTCTGAATCGGAAGAAATGTTAACGGCAGACAGACCAAGACTTTGCAAATATTTCACTTAGTCATCCATAAGACTAACCAAGGGAGACACGACAACCACAATGTGACCATTCACGTTGGAAACGTGGTCAAACACGAGCGGGAGAGCCTGATAAATTAAAGATTTCCCAGAACCTGTGGGCAAATTAACGAAGATGTCGTCCCTCTCGAAGACAGCTTTCCGAATTGCAAGCTTCTGGTAAGCATTTAGTTCCGCAATTTTGAACTTGGAAGACGCTAGATGGCACGCTTCTTCAAGAGCCGCCATTGTCGCCATGTTTAGTTGTGATTTTCCCACCATGCGATGGGACGATAGAAACTGATCTCTGATTGGACAAGTCTCAAAGGGTGAATTTGGCGCGAAAACGTTCTTGAAAATGAAACGGAAGCTGTGATAGGCTACACAATGGAAAGGACTGTTGTTCGGATGTGAGCAGCCGTTTCTTTGGGGGGAGCGTTGCGTGACATCCCAAAAAACGGCTGGCGGTCCGATCCCGGTTTTGTCGACGTCGCTAGTTTAGATGTATCATGTAGTCATTTGCGGTATGAATCTTGGATGACATCAAGGTCAATAAGGCGGCTGTCTGAATGAATTATAGTTAATTCGCCGGTGGTTTCGAGATAAATTCATCTGCCGGCATTCTACATTAGCCGGTACGAGTGCGATACACAAGATACCTGTCTCTGAATATCGGCTTGCGGCAGCACCACAGTGTTAAATTCGGCAGCCACTGGCAGTCAGGTAAGTCAGTTGAGGTGTTATTAAGCTTACAGAGGCCTTTTGAAATCTTTATCCTGCCCGACACGGTTGTGTTATTTCCATGATCACACAGCCTTAAATACATGAGGTGGTCCAGTTATGAGTCATATCAAATGCTCATTTGACTCAATTCAGTGTGACCTCTTTCTCGCTTTTGGAGCGTCCACAGAGATTTTGTCGGATATACAATCTAAAGCTCGCGTGCTGGTCCTATTTACTTACTACTGAAGACTTTGAGCCACTATAGAGGGGGACATGGAACTTTCCGCTGTTGACTGCTTTTCTAATGTGGTGATACAGTGAATAAAATCCCAACTTAGGGTGATCTCAA